TTCAGTATTTTGTTGGCCATTTGAAAATCCAGGTTCCATCCAAACCTTCTGTTGTCCTTAGCCTCAACAGCATCCTGGGACAGTGAGTTCCTCCATCTCAACACTGCAAATTATGTTTGGACTGTATTCCTTGTGGTGGTGTCAGTTCACCCAAGGAGAATGGTGGAACAGGTCAAAATGTACCTGAAAACTTGAAAGTCAATGGCTGGTAGCTAGTGTGTTCAGGAGGCACGAGCCAGAGACTATAAACTGTGCTCTAAAGGCAGGTAACATCTTCTCTCTTCTCCTCAGGGGTACAAGATGGATGATCTCCTGACCTCGTACATCAGCCAGATGCTAACAGCCATGAGCAAACAGAGGAGTGCAAAGGGTAGCAAGTGAACTGCAAGAAGCCGCTGGCATATGGTCATGGGGCTAATTCACCAGCTGAGGTCTGTGGGATACCCGTGCAGCTGGGGGAGAACCTTTGCCTCCCAGATGTGGAAGATGAGCCGAACACCATCAGGGAGTTCACTGGACTCTGATCTTGAGGGCTCAAATCCCACCTCCCCTTCCAGTGAAGATGACTATCTCTGACTTCTCGTTCTCCTTCCTCACCCTGTGCCCCAATTCCATCTTACACCTCAAAGATTTCCAGGGGACACCACCACTCTCAGACAGTGACTGAGCAAAGACACTCTGGCAGAAGGTTTGCCTGAACCCAATGGTTGGCATCACAAAGGCTCTTGGAAGAGGATTTATGTGTGTGTGTGTGTGTGAGTGTGTGTGGCTTGGTTTGGTTTGGTTTGGTTTGTTTCTTTTTTCTTAAATAAGAAAGAGCTCTCAGGATGCTAAGGGCTTTTTGGTGATCTTATGGGCATTTCAGGTTTGAAGAGGAATAACAGCCCTGACCCATGCTGGAGAGATGTCCAATGAACAGTGCAGGGCTCGTTTTTTGATGTTACATAAGAATACGTTGTGTTCTTAAGAAGGACAGAAAAAAAAAGCAGGCTGGGAGGAGCACATTTTAAGTAGGAATCAGAATAAACAAGCTACTGATCAAACAGGCTAGAGTACTAAAGTGCTGTCCGTGCAATGCTGGAAATATTTAAAGAACAAATTTTAACGTGGTTTTTTTTTTTTTTCTTCTTCTTCTATTTATTTTTTAAAATATTAAAGTTAAAAAAAAAAATAAAAATCCTTCATTTCGTGCCGATATCTGGACGCTGACTCGGGGCTGAGGGCGACCTGCAGGACAATCCCTCGCCCAGGGATTCCCCCAGAGCTGTGATTGACAGAGGCTGAGTAGGGCACATCTTTCCCAACTTAGGAGCTCAGCTGGAAGTGAAGCTTGGAAGAAAAATTATCTCTTTTTGCCCGCTGTGTCCAGGCAAATTAACCCTCGGAGGATCTTTACTGCAAGCTTCAATATGAATGTAGGGGTTTTGAAGTTCCTGAGCTTGGAAGACTGAGGCCAAGCCCATGTTGAGCTGTGATTCAAACATGGACTTGGCCATCAGGGTTGGAAATGACTAATGACTTTATTGTGTTTTTGTGTGTGTTGCTGTATAAAATGTCTCTTTGAGAGTCCCAGCTGGACCTGAACCACTCATAGCGAGGGCAGGCCCTTGATTTTATGTGGACTTTTCTCCATCTTTGGTTGGCTGTACTAATCTGCTGACTGGTTGTCCCATCTTCCACCCAACGCCATGCAGTGTGGACCAGCCTGCTTTGGAGCAGAGATGGGACCTGCCAGCAGAGAGGAGGCTGGAGCCATGTTGTATCTGTGGGGATGCAGGGGAAGGAGCCTGGGGTGCCTTTCCAAAATTCAGGCTTCAAAGGATCACGTGCCTGGGTGTGTGACAACAGGAGGGGTGAGAATTGTCCACCAAGACCTGGTGCTGGCATCACTAACAGTGAGTGGATCTCAGTAGATGTGGGAAACCTCTTTTGGTCCTGTGCATTGGGCTGAGTTTACCTGCTTTCATAAAAGTCCATATTGTAGAGTGTCGTGTGTTGTTCTGTTAAGCTCAGCTGGGCTTGGTCAACCAACACCATGGAATGCCAGGCAGAGTCAGCAGCACTGCCTACCAGACCTCAAGGACCATCTGACTGGGATGCAGCAGTGATTTTGGACCTCGATTGCTCCACCAAAGTAAATGAGATGCTGCACGGAGACATCCACCAGCCAGACAGGGCTGTTAGGAGATCCCCTTCCTCCACTGTTGCCCTACCCAAGGCACTCTGATGATGGGAGCATGGTTACACCAGCCAAGGCTACACTGGGAGCCAAGCTGCCTTCTCAACATCTATATCTTGATGCTTCTCTACCCTCTCTAGCTGCCATGATCCAGCTGTTCCAGGGAACCCACCCATCCCTAGACATGTGCCCATCATACCCACCACCACCACAGCTTTCGTGAGTCTCCAGCCATCCTTGCCTCCCACAGCATGCTCAGTAGATGATGCAGCATAGCAATGTTTTCCAACGCTGTCCTGGGCCAGCTTTTCCCCACCACCACTCACAGCTCTGTCAGCCTCCCATGCACCTCACTGTTTTGGGGGGTGTCAGGACTCTGTGTGCGACGTGTGCCTGTGTGTCATATGTATTAGCATCTACTGGCCTCTTTGTATTCACACCGAGCGATGTAACATGAAAAACATATGTCCAAGCAAAATAACTCTAATTAAAAAAACCATCAAGCAGTTTGTGGGAGGCTGTTCTGCACTGCGTGGTTGTGGTGGTATCTCCATGGGGAAGGGTGGGCTCAGGGCTCCCAGGTCCTCACTTGGTGACAAGGTTTCTCCTTGAAGAGTGGGACTTCTGGTGAGAGTATCCAGCAATGAGGAGTAAATCCTCAGTGTGCCTGGACTGGAAATTAAGTGAAATCTTGTCTTTTGGGGTAAAAAACACTGGAGCCCCCATTGTTCATCCTTTAAGACAAGGGCTGGTTCCTCCACGAAGGCCAGTTTTGATCTGAATCACTGGATGGAGGAAGTACTGGGTGAAAAGTTTGTGTGTGGAAGTCAGACAACCAGCCACGTGCATAATGGCGTTGCCAGACCCTGCTAGCTGTGAAGCAGCAAAAATAGTTGCTGAGATGTGACAGGGCATGAGGCATTACAGGAAACCACAGGTCTCATTGGCCAGGCTCTGCCTGGATGAGGCTACTGAGGATGAGGAAGGTGAGTATGGTAAGATACTACTGTGTAATGGCCAAGTAACAGCAAGATACATGGATGAAGGAGCATTGAGGTGGCATTTCCTAACACATATTCAAAGCAGCAGTTGGTAGACCATAGCCAAGTCCCTCACCTGGACACCAGGGCACAGGCTGACGCCGCCATAGTGCACACCACTGCTCAACCATCTCCTACTTTTGCTGCTCACATACTTTCATATGATTGGTACCCACACACATACAAAAAAAAATGACCCAGCTATGGATGTGCAGCATGGGGAGGGGGTTTAACACCATCAGTAGCATCCTCTCCCCATGCTTCCTAGATCTGGAGCTGTTCTACACCAATCCACCAGCCCTTTAGCCCTTTTCCAAAGGAGGATGCTGCCTTTTTTACATTTCTAGCCTCCAAAAATACTCCAAATTATGAACTTGGGAAAGGTTTGAGTGCTTCTCAGTGCAGCTGACTCTGAAATCTAATGCTTCCCTGTCACATTCACTTATGGTGATAACTTTATTTAGCAAAACCACCGAGCTGCATGAGGCTCATCTATGAGGAAATGTCTACAGCCTGATTCCAGTAAAGACTACTTTTTTCTTTCCCATTCCCAGTTTGCCAAAATAAGAATAAAACAGGAGAGGAGAGCTAAAATGTATTTAAAACAGCACTTGCAATTTACAAAAAAAATTATGTGTTCTTATTATCTGTTCAAGTAGAAATTTATGGCTTAAACCTGGAAGATGCTCACATCTCCTTTGCAGAGCAGGGCATAGACCCTCCTCCCCACCCCACTGTGTGTCAGCAGCCACTGGGGGAAATTAAAATTGGACTAAATCCCAGGGTGCAGCGCAGGACTGTGGACCTCCCCAAGGGAAAAGCAAACAGGACACTTGATGGGACTGATTCACACACGGCTGAATCCTTCTGAATAAAAGTGGTTTGCTCCTGGTCGTAGTCCCAGCAGCTACATGGCCAAGGCACCTAAAAGTCCTTCAGCACCCATGGGAAGATATGCCTTCACCCACAGCCAAGGGGAAGAGGCTGTCCTGTTAGGGTCTACAGCAGGGCAAGAGTGGGGAAAATGAAAACCTAAGCTGTCCCTACATGTGTTATAGAAGGGTACGGACCCTAGTGACCCAACCAGCAGCACTTGACCATCATGGTGGGGTTAGTGTGGTCTCAGGAATGGAGGAGACCTGCAAGGAGGAGGAAAGTGTGTGGAGAAGAGGCTGGTCTGACAGGAGAAACATGGGCAGCTGAGAATGAGGAGGACTGGAGATGCTCAGATGTTTGCAGCATGTGTAAAACACAGCTGTGGAAACAGAGGGCTTACGCACAGCAGAAGGGATTTCAGGATGATTGTCCTGTGGGATACCAGTGGTCTCAGAAATGGTGGCTCCCACGTGGTTGCTGCATGTCGTCATGGTGGACAGCTTCTTCATGGCTGCAACTCCATCTGTGCTGCCCTACACCCCAGGGATCCCTGCCAGGCACGGGATTGAGAGAAAAACTGTAGGAGAGGAAGCTCGATGCTCATCTCTAGCAGGGTCATGGAGGCAAACAGCTCCTTCTCAACGGGAGGATCCAAGCCCTCCAGCTGGTCCCCTTGGCAGGTTGGTGTTCACATTGCAGGAAGGGGCAGCAGGGGAGGGTCTGCTTTCCAGTCCTCATTGAGATGGCAGGTCCATGTCCCCTCCCTGCCCATGTCAGGCCATGACAGCAGGCATGTTGCTGAGCTCTGGAAAAGGGGACACAGAGTGAGCTACCAAAATATCTGCAGTTGTTTTGCCAGCCATCATGAGCAAATAGAACCTGGCTAAAAAAAAAAAATGTGTGCAGCCCAGGTTGGGTCATTTTGTCTGGATGCCAGCTCCATGGGTGCAGAAACCTGGTGCATGGGAGGGTCCCCAGCCAATCCCACCCTGGCTTGCAGACCCAAGAGTGCTCAGCACTTCTGGGCTCTCTTTTCACAGCATCACAGAGTAATGCATATTGGAGAGGAGGTCTGGAGGTCTCTGTTCCATCCTCTGCTTGAAGCAGAGCCAGTTAGATCAGGCTGCTCAGGGCTTTGAACATCTCTGAGGGTGGACATTCCCTACCTGTCTGGGCTCCTGTTCCAGTATCTGACCACCTTCATGGAGAAGATTTATTTTTTTCTCTTTATATCTAGTCAAAATTTCCAAGGTTGCAGCTTGTGCTGCTGTCACTGCACATCCAAG